CAATCGCGCCACCACCCTCGCGTTTGCCTCACGATTTGCCCTCGAGTTTTCCCGCAAATTCCCGACCCCGTCGTTGCATCGCGAACGCGACTATCGCGGATGAATTATCCCCGGTAATCAGAAATTCGCGTCCCCTCGAACGTTACCCCGTTGCCATTGTTACCGGTTGTCTCATTCGCGTTACGGCGCCTTGGATTTTTACCGATTTCTCTTCCGACGACGCTTCGACGTCGCTTCGACGACGAGCAGCCGTGACGACGTCACTCGCGGTTAAATATCGTGGAACGATCGACTCGTCGAGAGCTGTTCGACGAAGGTGGAAAGGAAAAGAGAGGAAAGAATCTCGGTTGTTTCGAGCCCTCTCGTTACGGGAGCTTTTCGTGCGAATTAACGAGACTAATACGTTCGACGTGGAAATTGCAGCTCGAATTTCGTCCACGGATTTACCCCCATCCTTGCCTCCGCTGTTCGCCCCGCCTGTGTTTCCAGCAATCTCTGACCGACGAGGGAAAAGAAAGAGCGGACTTTCCTCGCGTTTGGTACTTTCAATTCCCTCTATATCGTCCTTTGCTCTCTCTGCTCTGTCGTTGACGATCGCACCGGAATAGCAGAGATACGGAGGGGTAGAGTCCACGGGCCGTGTCATCTCGCCTGACCCAAATAGGAAAATTGCTGGACAGAGGAGCGCAAGGTTAGCCGACGAAACGTTAGGCGACTCGAATAATCGTCATTTTCATCCGTTCTCTCCCTTTCTCTCTCTTTCTCTACTTTTTTCTTCATCTTCCCGATCGTTTCGTTCCAATTGTTGGTCGAGATCGCGAAGAAAATCGCCCGTCGAGGGGGAGTACGCGAGGGGGCGCAAAACGCTCGCAACGTTTTTAACGAAGATGGTCGGACATCGCGATGAAGGATGGAAAGAAAGATTCGAGACGAATCGTTTTCATTTTTCTCGCATTTTTGTCTCCTTCGTTCGCGCGATCCTTCCCGTTCCAGGATGTCGCTTTTTGTCCAGCTCCTCATCCGAGGGATTTCGAAGATGGTGTTCACGGAGAGATCCGTCATCCGTGACGACCCTCTACCCAATTTCGGTTCATAAATCAATCGCGAATTAACGGCGGAGATTTTTAGTCGAGTCCGTCTTCCCTATAAAGCTCCCACCTTATTTATAAAAATCGAGCGTTAACCGATGTTAACCTAACCCGTGAAAAGGACGACAGATAAGCGAAGCTCCGCAGCGTCGGGGTTCGTCGCGGAGCTTTCCTGGCAGCTACGTTTCGCAAGCACGCCTTTACGACATCGGATGATAAAAGTAACGTCACCGATAAAGAGGAAAAAGAAAAACCGGGACGGAGAGGGAGACAGGGAAGGAATCACGGCGCGGCATATCCGGTGGCACTTGGTTCACGCGTACAGACGTGATTTCCACCGTACGATCGCAATTACGGTGACATTTTTTGGTTGCCTTTGTTACAACGGTCGCACGAACCCGCCATTAAATTCCACGTCGCTGTGTGCATCGTTGTTCCAACCTGTACCTCGCCGCGTTGCACTTTCGACCGAATCAACCCCTGCATCATCAATCTCTCGAACGATCCGGTAAGCATCGCGGCCCTGATTTACCCTCCGACCAATCTCGTATCATTCCAGCTCAAACTAACCGTGAGATTTACGAAGTCCGCTTCACCTCGTCTTCCGATAGCTCGATTTCATACCGCGAGCCTGTGCGGCGCGGTCTCTTTAAAGGACTCACGCTCGGCGTGAAAGAGAAAAATGGAAAAGAGAGGGAACCGGGGGGAAATGAAAATGGGAAAAAGGAGGAACGAAGCGAAGCGACGTCGGAAACAGACAAAACCGGGATTCGTCACGGGCACGCGGATTAAACGATTATTTTCGACGACGTCCTCTCGCTCTAGGCGCGTCCAGTTATTTCGTTGGCCGGCGTGTACGCTAGCACACGGGGGAAAAAAACAAAGCGGCCGATGCTGGGGGGTTGGGAAAATGGTTTACGACTTTTCGCGGCCGAGTACACGGCGAATTCGGGACACGAAACGGAAGCGCGGTGGATCGAGAAAGAGGGAGGCGGAGGCGGTCAGAGGCCGGTGGCCGAGTTGCGACGACCGATTTCCGGGATTTGCCTGACGTTTAATGAACGCTGGCAGACGTTTTGATTTACAGGACAGTTTGATTTCCGTGCGGGGCACAATAACCGCCAATTTGTAAATCGCCTCGTAAATCTGGACGGGCAGCAGCAGCTCTCTCGATGCGGACCGATCCGAACCGACGCATCGACGCTCGTTGCTCGCCGTCCTAACGGCCATTTGTCCAATTGGATTAAACAATCGGCGCCGTTAAAAGGGGTTGTTTGCCGTATTAACGGTAAACAGACCCGTAAAAACGGCACGATACTCGTTGGTACGTCGGAAAAATCCAATCGGACAATTTCTCCATTGCCCTGCACACGCGCGTGTATTCTTCGCCGGGCTTCGTTCCGCGATCGTTTTACGACCACGGATATTCCATATGCGCGTTTATTCTCGCGCAGCAGCCGGCTGTTCCGCGCAACGGGGAAAATAATCGCGGAAAGTTGCGGATGGAAATTGGAGCGAAATCATCGGCAGCTCGCGTCTGTTTCCGTTCGTATTACGAAAGCCGAGGCGACGAGAACGCGTTAATACAACGGGAGCACGCGTCGTAAATTCCAACTTTTATGAATTCTTGATCGACGTCCGCGAACGTTGCCTCGATGCGACGCGATCGATCGATCGCCGATCGAGGGGTGGTTGGTCCCGACAGTTTGTTCCAACTTGTTTACGACGTGACAAGCAAGTCGCGCGACCGTTTATTAATCGGCAATCCGCGAGCAACGAAAGGTTAACGGATAATGCCGAAGGCCACGTGTAACTTCCTGTTTTGCACTTGCCGGGGCTTGTCACCGTGTGGAAAGGAGTTTAGAAAACGGGTGGAAAGGGAGAGAAAGGAAAAATACAGGGGCCGCGATAGCGTCGGTGAACGGGCGGCGTCATGTCGTTAACCGAGTTTACTAATTATGGGTCGAGCGCGATAGCTGGAGTTACCCCGGTAATTTCGACGCCGTGGATGTGTAAAAGCGTGATGTAATAACAAGAGCCGCTTTACCGAAGTGCCTGTGTGATATTACTCTAAAAATCTCCGTTAATTAACTCGTAAAACTTGTAATAACGCAACGAATCAAGTTACACGGTTACGGCCCTTAACGTTCGAGCAGACCACCCACCGGCAGCTTTCAGCGGCTAGGAAAAAATCCTCGCGACAATGTTACCCGCGTTGGAAGGCGAAATTTTTCCATCGATTTGTAATTCTCGCTCGTCGAGCCGGTGCAAACCCGCGAGGGGGTAAAATATCGAGCGATCGGGATTACTCGTACGCGATCTCGTGCCGGGCAAATGGCACGCATTGTACGTCGTCGGGGAATATTAATTGTAAATGGCGTGCGCTCGGTAAAAAGGCAAGGAAAAGCGGGGCGGAATTCAACGAAGATGGAATTCCTTCGTTACGCCGATACTCCACTCGGTAAAAATACTTTGCATCGCGAGATTACGAGATCGGAGAATCGATTTCACGCCTACGGATTACGGCCGAGTAAAACGCTTTTGTCGCGAATACGCTGGAGCTGCACTTTTCCAACTTTCCCCCGAGCTCGATTAAAGCCGCTGTCTACCGAGGATATCGCAAGAATTTCCACCGCGATACGCGTGTCATTTTAATATTCTATTTCCCTTTTTCCTCAACCCTCTCTCTCTTTCTTCGTCTATCTACGCACGGGGGCCGCGACGGAGCGATAAGAAATCGCGTATAATAAGTAATTAGCGAAATACGCGAGACTTCGGAGCGAACGATAAAATAAATTCAGCCGACGTTCGTGTTACTTTAATCATTAGCTCGAAATATCGGTCTCTCGGGTCGAGAGACCGTCTCGCATCAGCGGCGCAAGTCGTGTGTTCTCGTCGGCAAAAAACTGCACGGTGGAATTTAATTTACGAACTCGTTGGTATTATATTTCCGGCAATTAATCGAATTAAAATTTCCATTCGTTTTCGAATTATCCAGCGTCGCGCGTGTGCCGGGCTCGGTGACTCGCGGTTAAATAAACCAACGAGCACGTTTGATATCTGGCTTGGCCGATTTATAGCCGCGAAAGGGTCCTCTCTCCGCCTCTCATCGGTCTCGGCGTTCTTTCTTTCCAGATGCTACAAGTCGAATCACACTTCGAACCGTGTTCCTTTCAATTCTTTCCTCCTCCCCGGAGAAAAGTCTTCTCGCTTCTCTTCCACCCCCACCCCGTTCCTTTTTTCCCTCTTTTCCTACCTTTTCATCCCGCTCATCGAGCCGTCTCAGAGGCTGATTTCCGCAGCGTATCTCCCGCGTAGACGTTCGCTGCACGCGAATACAGTCTGTATCTTCTCCAGTGGCTCTACATATATTACAGCCCGATAAACCTGATTAACATTGGGTGTTCGTTAATTACAGCATCCCTCTATTACACTGACTTAGCCATGCGTTAATGATTTCACGGCCCCGTGGATTTCCGACGTATCGACGAATCAACGATACGCCGTGCATCGCAATATGCATTTCGATGTGCATCCTAGGCTAGATGGATGCGTATTTACATATTCCTGCCGCGCTCGCTACGTACACCGGTGTCGCGCCTTTAATGACAGGCCAGGCGTATTTATTAATTACCAGCGATCCTTTTCATACCGTCGTATCGGTCACTCGAGGTTCGCGCCACTTTCCCGCCATCCTTCGCGGGCTTTGAATCGTCGAAAGCGAAAATACCAGCGTATCTCGTTCCACCGAACGAATCAGCGACGACCGTCGCTTTTCGTCGATCCACGAATATCGACGTTCGATCCGTTTCCTCGTTTTATTCCCATCCTCGAGCTCGGTCTCATCCAACCGATCCATACGAGTCCACGATTCGTCGCGGTGTCCAATAAATCGGTCTCTTCTGCTTGCAGAGTAAGCTTTGAGGTGCAAGACGCGGAACGGCGATAAAATGGCGGACAATCAGCGAAGAAGACGGTACTTGACCATCAGTATACTCCACATCGTCACCATCATGTGCCAGGGTAAGTCTGTACCTTTCATTTTTCTAAATGCGAATTTTTGTCGCTGCGAATTTATAATTTATTTTTCGCCGGAAAAATAGAGGAAGATCGTAATTCGGGATTTAATTCGGGCGGAAGCGCAGGAATCTATTCTAATTTCGGGGCTCGCGACGAAGAAAAGTGATTCGCGTAACGCGCGTTAGATCTATAGCAGCCGGCGCTAATGGAATTCGCGTAATTATAAGGGAAACGTGTAGCAACTACGAATGCCCGGGTAAATAATTACACCGGGGAAAGTAATGTTGGTTTATATCAAGTAAATTAGTATTATATTTCGATTAGATTCGCACCGCAGACTTCCCCGGAATTTAGGTGCCGCGACCGAGCTGCGCGCGCGAACCATTTAAACGGCTCGGAAATGCGACGAATACTCGCGAATTCGGTAAGATTCGCTGCTAAACTCGTTAGAAGAAATAGAAGGAAGGAAAGGGGGAGAAAAGGGTAAGGGCAAAGGAAGAAAATAGAATCGAATTTCGATTTAAAACCGTTGAACGTCAGCAACCAGGTTCCCCGCTGCTGCCGAGATAACGACGCCGCTTTCGTCGGGGACACAAATTTTTGGTTCTTAAGCGCCACTTCTGGCACACGTGCCGTGTCATCTGTTATGCGACCAGACGTACGTATATACGTACGCGTTTGCCCCTAATTGCCGCACGCAGACTCGGTGCACTGCTCGCGAAATACCGATAATTGTACCGCTTCTAGGTATCCTCCGCGATAGCACGAATTCGTCTTATCGTTCGCTTCGGTTTAACTATTCAGCCGGTCGCTCGTTAAATGTAAAGCAGCTTAAATGCCCTTTGAAAAACGAGACTTTCATTGCGGTCTGTCTCCCACCCCTGCACGCGAAGCTTGGTCTATCCGCAGCTGCATTTTACGCTGCTCATACGTAAGACGATTCCCGGACGAATATCGAGTCTTCTTCTAAAAGGAATTACTCCGAGAACGCGATTAACGTCCGACGTTTTCGCCGATACCCGAAGATCGGAAATAGAACGAAGCGCCGTGTCATAGGTGGAAACATAACGTACGCACAGTCTTTAGCATGCGGGGCCAAGTCTTTTGTCAAAAAAGGAAAAGAAAAGCCGATCATTGCAATATTTGCAATTCTTTGCGAAGAGGGTTAAGCAAAACGAGAGCACTTGTCTTAATTTTTGGTCCAATTCTTGTGGCCGGTGACACTATAGTCAACCGTCCTGTGTAGATGGCGTCTCGTGGCCGGTGACTATAGTCACCCGTCCTGTGTAGATGGCGTCTCGTAACCGGTGATTATAGTCAATCGTCCTGTGTAGATGGCTCTCGTGACCGGTGACTATAGTCACCCGTAGTAGCGTTAATCGCGCCAAAATTCAACGCAAACGACCGTGAGACGTCGCGGATGAAACGGTGACCGATCGACTCTCGATTTTCCGGATCGTGGTATAAATGTTTAGGCATCGAGGAAACTGTCGACCATCAGGGCGTTACCGTGCACGAGAGATCGGCGTGTCGGAGTAGGCACGAGGTATAAGTTATCGGTAAACGCTGATAAAACATATCACCCGTTGGTATTGGCGACGTTAATCAATTTCCCATTGAACGTGCAATCTCGCCGTGCTATCGAGGTTCGTTGAATGGAGGGAAAGCCGATGCGGGAGGTCTTAAGATCACGAAGACGGCCAACCAAGGGTTGGCAACTCGTAATTATCGCTAAATAAGGAGGTGGTTCGCTTCACTTCGGCACCACCCCCCGGTTGAACAAGATATATTAAAGCGTCGTGAGGTAAATTCCGGGCCCGCTTCGGTGGCCATTTTCCAAGTTTTAAACGATTCGACGTAGCCGCGGCTACCTCGGCACCGAACCTCGGTACATCCTGCTGCCTCTGTGCTCGGCGTTGAAACGACGCCACTGGTCTTGGCGGTTTCAATCCCGACCTTTTAATTTCACCCCTCCTCCGGTTCTTCTTTTTCACGGCAATTTACATTTTCGCCTTGTATAATATTCTGCGGTATGTTTGTATCGGAACTCTCGGCCTTTATCGGAAATCCTTTAAAATTACACACGGTTCCATTTCCCGCCGTTCGCTCGAGTATTTCCAATTTTTAAGGCAAGGGCTCGCCGTTCTGCGGAACGAGAAGGGCAAAAAATAGTATTTTCCGATTGCGTCGGTACTGCGTTTTTTTCCACCCTTGATATATCCGATAACCGAGTCTGCTTTGGATAACACGGGAAATATTTCAAGTTCGTCTCATCCTTTCGCCTACACGCGCGAATTTCGAGCTTCGACCAAAAATAAAGTACTTCTCCGCAACGCGTTCGCGACTTTGTCCGTGGCTGCCGAAATATCGTTCGAGGCATCGTTTACCCCGTCCTACGACGCGATCGGGCTCGTTAAAATGCAGCCTGACGTTCCGCCACGGTAAATGCCAGTTCCACCCCTTTCCCAAAGTCCTGCCTCCGTCTGATGAAAGAAAATTACTGCAGCGTTGTCGTAACGATCAACGATTGTCTTCCGAATCGTCGTTAACTCGATGTAACTTCCGTTGTTCCTCGCTTTGAGCTTCTTCCCCGTGTAAGAGAAAAGAAACTCGAGGTTTCTTCCCTTTCCAGCGGTTCTCGTCGTTACGTCCAGCGAAACTCGGCGAAACTCCACCGAACTATTCCACGAAACTCGGAAAAAACGGCGCATCGATTTCCACCGGAATCGATTCGACGCCCTATCGCGCCGTCATATCGCGATTCGTCGCGCGATCGCGATAAAGCGTCGGAGGAACGCGTCGCGGAAGGAGCTTCGCCGATAGCTTCTCGCGCGACGACGTAATTTCGGCTCGCTTTGAGCCGCTAATTTAAATACATATTATTACAACGCGTATGCAATATCCGGCGACGAGTCGAAACGCGAGAGACGCGAGGCTGTAACCAGGCAACGGGCGCAACTAGGCGTCGCATCCAGTGCTCGCGGACTTGGTCGCCGGGAGTGCACCGACTTGCGTGTCAGCCAATCAGCATAGCCGACTATGCATACGAACGAACCCGTCGACGGTGCCTAACCCGGCAAATTCGAGTCCTCGCGGCGCGCATCGTCGTCGGTTCATTGGCCGGCGGCGCCCCGACGCAGCGGATCGCGTGGTTATTGTCGGTTTTCATCGATTCTGTCGCGAGCACCTGGCAAATTGCTTCCCGTAGACACCGGGATGATCGTACGGATTCGTCGGTCGAGTGGCGGCGCGAAAGGGCGTTGAATCGTCGCGACCGTTGTATACCCGAGAACGTACGTCGAACTTTGGAGATCCGAGACGTTTTGGGCCAGATCGCTCGATTTTCCACTCGATCCTTCGATCAAATTTCCCTCGTTTTTCTGGTTTTTCTCGCCGGTACCGGAAACTCTCGCTGCACCGGAAGCTCCGCTAGGGGAGTTTATTTCGCGTGGTTCGGAGGGACATGTATACCCGAGGCTGGAACTTATTTCACCGGACCGATCGCGTCGGTTGAAACCGGGAAATCTGGTCGCTTGTAATGGCGAGATCCGAACAGGGGTATAAAGCCGCAAAGCGAGGGTAACGACGGTGGACGTCGAACGGAGGACGAATGTGCGGGGATAAAATATCCCGGAATGCGAGGATACACGCTGTTTGCCTTTCAGATATGCGTCCCGTGTCCGTTCACCTGCGAAACTATTTCACTCGGACGAATTCGCGTGGTTCGATGGCTTCTTCGTAGCATCGATCGTGGCTCGTTCGCCGTTTCGTCGGGGGAAAAGGATTCGCGTTAAAATCCCGACGACGATCGCGTCGACATTCGGTTCTTGGGCGCGAGATTATCGTCGCGGTTGAAAATACAGCGGGAAAAACGGGGAGAGAAAGAAGGAAATTTCATGTACGAGGGGGTATAAGAGGAGGCCGTGCTTACGTCTTTTCTCCCGTCGTTCCAGCGAATGGAAAAACTTCTGGTATTCCCCTGGTCGACAGCGAGATCGTAGATTCTTGATGTAGCCTTTGTGCCGGGGAAAGAGAAATAGCGGCGAGGAAAAGGTGGAAATCCTTTGGAAAAAGTACAGTAGTACCTGGTGGCTGCCGTTGAAAACTTTCTTCCTCGGGGCCCAGCCACCGACCCCTTCTCGGCCGACAGACGGTCACCCCCGTTCGTCGCGTAAATGCAAAAACATATTTAAGATGTTATCTCTGGCGGTGAGCACGACCGCATTCAAAGTTGAGACATTAAATGTACATTAGTGGCGTTAGACGCCGGGTACTTTCTACCACTCTCGCGTCCTCGCGCACGTTCTCGCCATTTTGCTTCTTCCCGACCATTCCTCCGATTCCTCCGATTCTTGGCATCGATTCCCGAGGTCGTCCATCGGCTACTAACCTTCCGATTTGCCCTTGAATGCCACCGAGTACACTTGGAAATTCCTCGTTAGAGGTCGCCACCGTAGGGGTTTGTCCGGGAGTTAAAAATAGGGGTGGTATCGTGCTCGTGTCTTCTGGTTATTGCGACCAGCGCCGGGGGGGAACTCGGGTGCAATAGGAAAATATCACGGTCGTCGAAGCGCGAAGTAGTCGGCGAAAGTTTGCGAATGCATAAAAAGTGGCTATATCTACGGGGCTGTTTTTACGGCGACCCCGCTTCGATAAACTCGACCTGAATTCGATACACTCGGCGTGGGACGTGCATTATAACCGTAGAGGAGGAACGTGGTCCGCCGGCGTGGAAAGTATAAAGTGATTTCTGGCGAGAGTCGCACCGGGAAGCGTAAATGACGATGGGAAAAAAGTGTCGGCGTGAAAACCATGAGCGCGAATGAACACCATGTCGAGCACACTCGGTCGAAAGAAGCCACTCGTTAGAATAGCCGCTTTGCGTATCCGTTTATCGCGCGCGACACGCGATCGTGCTTCATTTGCACCGAGGCACGTGTCGCCATTCTTTCCTTTTCCCTTTATTTTTCCTCTATTTTCCCCCTATTTTTCCTCTATTTTCC